CAATGAATTGACCATCTGACGGTTTTTAATTATTTTGTGAACAGTCAGGCGCTTTGTTGGCTTGTGGGATTGTCAGTGCAGGAGTCCGAGATGAGTGTGATCCCCCTCTGGCTCTACTAACGGACTACGTTGTGCACACGAATAATGTCATGCGAATTGGTCCGATTCTGGGTTCGTATTTTCAAGAGATTTGTTTCACAAATTCTCAACTGAAGAAGTTTTCATATTCTAGGACTTGGTCTTGCTTATGCCGGTTCCAATCGACCCGAGGTTTTGGAGCTGTTATTGCCTGTTCTGGCAGAAGCCAATGCACCAATGGAGTTGATAGGTTTGGCGGCTTTATCCTGTGGCCTGATCAGTGTTGGAGCCCGGAATATTGAAGTTACAGCAACAGTTCTGCAAACTCTCATGGAAAAAACTCCCGATGAGCTCAAAGACCCGTTTGCAAAATTTCTCCCGCTAGCCCTCGGATTGAGCTATCTTGGAAAACAGGAATTAGCAGACGTAACCCTGACAGCCTTGGATGTGCTTGCTGATCCCTTCCGATCGATGGCTAAAACCCTGGTTGAAGTGTGTGCTTATGCCGGTTCTGGAAATGTTCTGAAAGTCCAAAATCTCCTTCACATCTGCTCGGAGCACTATGATGGTACTAGCGCAGAAACTACAAAGGTTGGTTTTTATCTGTTTTTCCATGTCTCATATCTCTCACGTACTGAATTTTACTGAAGAAGAAGGAGAAAAAAGACGACAAGGATAAGAAGGATGATAAAGAGAAGGGAAAAGAGGAGAAGAAGGACGAGCCGAGCGTTGATCTATCCCAGCAGCAAGCGATTGCAGTCCTAGGCATTGCACTGATAGCTATGGGAGAGGAAATCGGTGCTGAAATGTGCATGAGAACCTTCGGTCATTTGGTGCGTTGCAGATTGTGATCATGTAATCTTATAGTGATCATATCGTGTCATGATTACTTCAATATTTTCCTATGTGTAATTTCCTTCAGTTGCGTTACTGTGAGCCGGCAATCCGTCGGGCCGTTCCTCTGGCAATGGGTTTGCTCTCGGTGTCGAACCCGCAGATGTCGATTGTAGATACACTGTCGAAGTTTTCTCATGACCATGATCCAGAAGTGGAGTATGCTGCTGTGTTGGCAATGGGCCTAGTTGGAGCGGGAACGAATAACGCTCGTATTGCAGCTCTTTTGCGACAGTTGGCGCAGTACTATTATCGTGATCCAAACTCGTGAGTTGCATGATTTAACAAAATCTTTATGCCTTGGAAATGAATAACCCCCGTTGTTTTATAAATTTCAGATTGTTCATGGTTCGAATTGCCCAAGGGCTCGTTCATTTGGGCAAAGGTACGATGACGATGAATCCGTATCATTCAGACAAGCAGCTTCTGTCGCCTGTTGCTCTTGCTGGTCTCCTTGCAACTTTAGTGGCTGCCTTGGATTGCAAGCATAGTAAGCTGGCTTCAACTCTCCTCATCTTTATGACAATTCCTCATTATTATTTTCGTTCTCAGCCATTCTAGGGAAGTCGCATTACCTTCTTTATTGCCTCGTGACTGCAATTCATCCACGTATGCTTGTTACATTCGACGAAGATCTCCAGCCCCTTCCCGTGTCTGTTCGTGTTGGTCAGGTGAGTTTTCTGTCCATTCGGCGTATTACCTTCGGATTACTTCGTCGTCATGTTTTATTTTATTTTTTACTGGAAAATTCGTTTCATTTAGTCTTGCTTTTATGTTACCGATTATTCATGTACGAATAATTATCCTAAACGTGTCAACGGTGTTATGTGTTGGAAATTCTCTGCCCGCCGGTTGTGTGAACTCCATGGCCAACATTTTTTTCCTTCGTTTTTTTTTTTCAAACCATAGCACGATTAATTTCACACGCCCTCTGGCTCATAAATTTGCATTATTTCGTGTTTCTGAACTGTTTTCAAAGCTTCGTCGAGAAATTTATCAAATTTATTTCCTTCAATAGGCCGTGGACGTCGTTGGCCAAGCCGGAAAACCAAAAACGATCACCGGATTCCAGACACATACTACCCCTGTGCTTCTTTCGTTCGGAGAACGAGCAGAACTCGCCACAGAGGAGTTCGTTCCATGTACGAACGTTCTGGAAGGTTTCGTGATCCTCCGCAAAAATCCGGATTATACCGACTAGGCCTTGGTATGGTGTTTCCGGAACTTGTAAAAATTTTACGTTTGGATGCGTCTGGTGTGTCGAGTGTCAGACTTTCGATTTTGCTGATGATCGGCGCGTAGAATTTTCTACTCGCCCTTCGGAACAAGGCGAGGTGTAAATTTTACGAGTCGCCTTTTCATCGCCCGGTTCGGGAAGCGTTGCGTATTAAATTGCGACAATTAATTATGAACGCTTTATTATTTTCCTTCCGTTTGAAAAACATTCAAGATTCGTAGCAAATTTGTATATCATTGCAATTCGTTCTTCCATGCTTCAACGCGCATCGATACAATTAATCATTTTCGAGTCAAAGCTTGTGAAACCGGATTTTGAACGTTCATGTGTATCGAATCCATTGCATCAGGAGAACCTGATTCATACAATTTTGGTTCTCGCGGTCTAAATTGGAGATGATTGACTTTTCCTGATTGGCATCGGTCCTGATGGGTGATATTTTTTGTAGTATGCTATCATGATCCCTATTCCAATAATAAATCCTGCTGGCACACCGGGCAAAGCTACATAAAAGTACCAAGGACGCTCCCCGAGGTGGAATTTATCAATCCACCAGGCGAGAACCATAGCGGTTTCTTCTGAAAATGTTAAAGAATAAAAGAGGATGTATTTAATTTGCGAAGGACGCGGGGTGAGGTTCACGAAGCAGAACACGTATACCCAACCCATGGTAGCGTTGAAAAGTGCTTCTTGCAGACTGTTGTTGGCTGTCTCCGTGCTACAAAAATTTGTTCCCTGTTGAGTATAAGAGCCAAATAACGAGATTATTCGTGAAATGAAGCACGAGGGCTAGTTCATGAAGTTTGTGAGTCTTGTGTTGTCCTCGTTGAAGTCTTGTTCAAAGTATGAAGATATTCTTAACTTTTCATTACTTCATGATCCATGTTCAAATTTCTATGAACCCATGCTGGAATAGAAAGAAGACATTCCTTGTGGGTGAGAAAATATGGTTCTATCATGGTTTCAAGTACTGTACTCGCATATTTGTAAGGGACACAAGAGAACGGATTTAAAAAAGAATAATTACTGTCTACTTTCCTGACTATTTATATCAAGGCTATGTCCCGATTTGAAAAGTTTTGTCAGCCTGAAGTTTGTATCCAAAAGTTGATTGTTCAGCAAAAATTTTTCATGTCGAGGATTCAATTGAAAGTTTTTTCTTTTCTAGTGACTCCGCAAAGGTTTCAGCGGGATTGTGATTGTGAAATGCCTGAAGCATTTTTTTCATTGTGCCAAAAATTTTTGAACCATCCCTCGTTGTTTCATGGATCCGAAGTTTTTGAAATTTTCAAGATCGCAAAGAACTACTGAAGTGACCTGGTAAAAGATCCAAAGACTCATGATGGCCCAGTGCCCTGCAATTCCCACTATGAGGTATCCTCTGTAGACCGAGGCGAATAAAGCCATTGCCACGACACGAACTCCTACTGTGAAGAATTTCCACATGAACTGCAAGAGCTTTCCGCACATGTTGAGGTTCTTCTTCTCCGGTATCGCGAATCGCAGTGCTCCGCTGTAAGATGCCAGGCTCCACGACAAAGAGAACAAGGACGAAGCCACCGAGAAAGTTTGAACAAGAACTAAAACGAGAGGAATTCCATTGCGCATGATTTCTATGTTAACTTTGAATATGAACGGTCTCTTAATGAAACCAGCTTCGGATAAATTCCCCGTGATGCATGATTTAAAAAAGCGTTTCACTCACCAACTTCGAGGAACTCGGAATGATCTCCGGTGTTGGGAGGTCGTCTAATTAAAATATAAATCTGAAGTACGAGTTGCGGTGCATCTCCAAGCATGGAATGAAGCATGTCGAGCATTGCGCTGTCACGTTCTTCCCAGATGAGCAAGTGTCTGTAATCTACTTTCTCAGTAGCTTCGGTGGCATCCGTACTGACTTTGGAGCCGCTGGATGTGTCACCCATTTTCTTCTTCTTTCCCGATTTGTCTATCACGCAGTACGGCCCGAGTACTTCTCTGCTCGGTTGTTTCCTGCTTTTGGTGCCGTAGAATAGGATGTCGATGTACCTGGAAACCAGATACGATGAGTCCGAAAATCTTGTTAACTTTATTTTTATGTTGATAGTTTTCGTTATCCTATTTGTTTATGCCGTATGGAAGCAGTGGTACTACTCACCGAAGCAACTGTCCAAGAAGAAGACAATGCATAAGGACCCGAGCTCCCCAAATCACTCGCGAAACTGAGCGCTTCCTCACATTGTAATTTCTTGCGTGTTGCGTTTCTTGGTTTGACTCATGCCAATACCTAAGGCAACGTTGTGTTAGTTATATTTGATGGTGAATTTTAATGCCGCTTTGCTGAAAGTCAACTTGCCAAGCTAATGAAAATCCGTTGATGCAAATGGAAGGAACGAAGATGAGTGCTACGGTGAGAACAAACCACCAGTGTGTATCCTGCTCCTTGGATAGGAAGTACGCCACTGAAATATCGGATCCGAGGTCGAGGCAGAATCCTACAATGGATACCACGACGGAAAGGTAATCCGTGAAACCGAAATGAACGTCGTACTCCGGTTCGAAGAGGATAGTTTCTGTTCGTTCGAGCACCTGTTTCGATGAGTCCCAACGTGAAAGATGAAAAATATGTCTCTATGCGAATACTGTATAAGCACCCCCTGGCGAATGTAAGCACCTACTTACTTTCCTGGTGTTCAGACTTTCCAGGGAACTAAAATTTCTGACTAAATTTAGGTTTTCCGCGGAAAAGTGAAAAACGATGTTACACACCGCTTGGTTTTCCCCTTCAGTCAAAGAGTCATGCATCTTGAAGTTCTAAAAGCTGACTATTTCTGGATTATTTCTGACCGATTCCAAAATAACCGAAGAAAAGAAGTGCTCGATTTTTGTTGGCCGCGAGCAGGGAAAGTTCCTGATATACTGTAGAGGCATATTCACGCGAATTGCATAAATTAGTGAACATAAGCACCCCATAATTTTTGAGCTTATGAAATTGGAAAAAAGGGTGCTCATTTTTGCGTATGTAAGTTCATCCATATCTGACAAAGTTCGCGAGGATTTGAAGTGAAATTAATTTCTTTGCCGTCTTTCGGATGGTCTTCGTTGGATCGTGTTAGAACTGTTACCAGATAATTGTGGAAATTCTGAATGTGTGCGTCTTACGTTTTTCGAAGCGTTCCTTATGTTCTGAAATCCTTTGACTATGTGCGTCTCCACGGCACGATGCATGTGGTGCTCGTTGGGGTCCATCAGATCACCTTCGGACTTCGTATGAATTCGAATCATGTGGGGATGCTGCTTGGTTTTTGACGTCTCCGGCAGCGCAGGATCTGGGATGTATGAAGGCAAGTCGATAATAATTTTATCGAGCTGATGAAACTAACATTTACCATTTTTACTTGCAGAGAACGAGCGCGAAAATTTTCATATCGGCGCCATCCAACGAAGGATATGAATCTTACCTCGCGGTTCAGCCGTTGGAACCCTCGGATCTGAATGCGGAGTATCACCGATGGTGAAAATCGGCTTGTCAGAGGGGCTTTTATATTCATCATCGTCATCTTCAAGATGGACAGCCCTGGTCATGCCAATATCCACTGAGTCGACGTGTTTTTGGCGAACAAGTAAGCTTCGTCTCTGTTTCGTTGTGCTCATTTGGCTATCATTTTTGGTCTCCGTGTTGACGGGTTCTTGGCTATCCCGTGGTTTCATTTCTCCGTACAATTATTTCGCTCAACTCGGATTCCTTCAGGGATGGGTTGCGTTCAGTTGATTTCTGCGAAAGTAATATCGCAAATTTATGTCGATGCTTGAAAAATGCGAAAAGACCGTGAAAATGTGGTAATTTTCAGGATACAAGGGTTGTTCCAAATCCGCTCAAATATGAAATTTGTTAGTACGGTTTGTATTTTGAGTCCATGCTGATTTTTTCAGAATTTTAGGATAATTTTTCATCACGTCTCGTAGTAAGACATAAATACTTTCCGGTGATGGCCTGATAAAGTATTCACTTTACTGTATAGTGTTTCGAAAATGTTTCAGGGTGATCAGCCAAAGGCCCTAATAAGCCAACAACTAGTTGAGAATACCTTTAGATTACTTGAAGCATCGTTTTCGTGTCCTACAAATGCAGTAATTCCGTGTTACCGTATTTTAAAATTTTCTTGAATAAACCTACATGCGATCGCATGTAGTTGCTGAGCACATCAGATTGTACTGGTGTTACCGCGTTTTGGTCTACCATAAAAAATTACAAAAATGTATCACACGTAAATGCAGCACAGTATGTAAATATATTATGAGTTCGGATTCCCGCACACTTCTGGCAATACTCGAGTCCAACTGTCCAAGCAAATCTAGAACGACCCTTTACAATTTCGCACGATTGGCTTTTCAACGAGCAACTGACTAGTTAAGTTGAAGATAAATTGCTTTTGTAGTTGAGCAATCTTTCGAGCCGATGAACACCATTCCACTGCCGCAAACCATGGGAAACTTCGAACGAATCAACTGTCTCCCGTTTTTATTTCTATGTTCGTCACGGCATCGAACTGTCGTAACTGGATTGAACCTCTCTTTATCACCTAAACTGTTCTGTTATCATTATTGAGAGTATCTTGTTCTTCATGTTCCGAGATAATTCTATGTTTTATATTTAACGGCTGATATTGTGTAAAATGCATGGATGTTTCTAAGCCGAAATCATGAAATGGTTTGTCGGCACGACTAGGAGGTGCGAATTGACGTTATCAAGTTTTGTATCTGGTTATCAAAGCTGAAATCTATGATATGTTGCGCATGGTTTGTCATCGAAAGCTAGCTGTCTTTTTTTTTTTTTGTACTTCAGAGGGGATTGCATAATTCAAGGGACCTGGGATGCAGAAAATTGTGTCCGATTTTTAAATACGTTTCGTTTTCATATTTACATCTATTTTTTATTATTCACTCTAAATCGCTGAACTTTCTTGAATCTGTATTAAATTTATGATGGATGCTTGAAATCAACGCACAGTCTGATTTTTCAGTTTTTTCTAAAGCCTCGTTTAAAATTACGGCCGTTTAGGTAATAATTTCTTTTTTAAGGATTTTATTGATCATTTCTTGTATTCTGAGCCCTTATTTCATTTTGTATTTATTAATTTAACATATTTTGTTATCATAGGTGATGCTAGAAAAAAACTCACCCATCAGAGAATCTCGCATTTACCCCATAATCCATGTTTAATTTATAAATTGATGATTTATTTATTTATTACGAGATTTCGGTGCTTCGTCAACCTAAACTTTCTCCAGTGATGTACCAAATTATCAATAGCTAGCGAGAAGTTTCATGTTTGAGAATAAGAGAAAAAAAGTTTGAGATCGCCTTTCCTGGAATGCTGAGATTTTTGTTTTTGATAGCTGAGAAATGTTTTCGAAACGGTTACGAAGTGTAAAAGAATAGGATTGATCAGGTTTCAACGACTGAGGGCGATTCCTTTTCAACTACACGTGCGAAATATTTTTTTCATTCCTATTTAAATTGGAACTGAAACTGTAAATATGACGCAGATTTTCGAAAGATGATAAAATCCCTTGGTAACCGTTGCTAATAATTTAATTGATCCTGAAGTATTATAAATATAATCGAATGGCGCAAGCTTCTTACTGGAAAGACGAAATTTGCAAAATAAATTTTTTTCGACCTGGCCTTCGCATAGGTTTTACAGTACAGTATCTGACTCTGTCGAAGTTTAGTACAGTACAGTAATTTAATCTCTTGCCTGTCAAAAAAAAAAGACTCTGAACCCTATTGACGGCAATAATTCTCGTTTTTTTTTTTTGCACCTCGACCGAAAACAAGGGCAGAAAATGAAGTAATATCGCGCAGATCGTCGTGTCGCGAATGGGCATTCACCTCTTCATCCAAAGCTGGTCCGCGGCGAACTCCAGCTGAATTTCGTTGTGTCCTGGACATGGAATGAGATTTTTGGAACACGAGACCAGGGCGATTTCCGGTAAAATATTTGTGTTCGGGTTGATACGATCTTTCTCTGTTTGAGAACGCGTAAAACTGTTTCATCTCGCGTTTTGGCTCGTTTAGAGTTTGTCTTGTAGGTGCGGTGGGGAATATCGCGCTTTTGGCCGCCATTCAGAGGATTACCGCGATGATGTAGGTTTCGGATTTCAGTCGTCTTAACTTTTTCAATTTATATCCTCACCATTGCTGATGCTGAGTGGTCATAATTCATTTGTTGGAAATGTAATCATCTCCATCGTAATAATATAAATTTGATATTTTTCTCTTCTAAAATGTTTTTGGAGAAAGTCAACAGTATTTATTTGAATTTTACAATGTTGTGGGTCCGACGAGTATATGTGCTTTTGGATCCTTCGAAACGTGGAACAGGAATAACAGCAAGTCGTGGGATCGCCAAGAATCGTTCTCAATTTTATAAAAAAAAAGATAAATTTTTCATATTTGCTGAATGATGAGTAACAGTTTCAAGTCCAACGAGGAAAGATACTGTTTTCATTTTGTATCGTATCACTAAATCATATCTTGTGATCGCGACTTCGATAGATAGTTTGAAAGATCTCCAGACACTATTATTCTCGTCACGGTAGAATGTCTGAGCAATTTTATTGTGAGATTTTGTGGTTTGTATTGGGGCGGTGTTTATTGAAAAATATCTTCTTCGACCGACAAGAAAGAGCAAAAAACGTTTTACAAGTTGTTGCCCTTGATAAAGCACTTCCGATTGTCTCGAAGAAAGAAAAAAAATGACTACAAGTTCAGCATGTAGCCACAGCACGAGCTCCGTGATACGTGTAGCGCGTGAGATGCATAGAGATTCACTACAGTATTTTAAAAATCACCTACTGAATTCAAAACAGCAAAGAAATCCCTTGAGGGATGAAAGTGGGGCAAGGGTCGCATTCGGAGTTTCTTTTTCACGCAGGGTCATTCACCCGTGGGGGAATGCTGGGATTGGCGTCAGTATTTGATCCCTTGGGTAATGTTTTCTTCCGGCTGACTTGCAATAGGACCTTCGCTTCCGAATAACCGGAGTGGTCCAATGTTGGGAATGCTTTTATTATTGAAGTTTTAATTTAGGTCAGAGCTTTATGCTGTTGAGGAAGGTATGTTTTTTGGAAGGAAGGTTTTCCTTTCTAGTTTTGAAATTCATATTATTGCCCTGCATGTCGAGTCCTTCTTGAAACCATTATTATACAGTATACTGAAACATCTCAATGAGCAAGGAACGTATCGTCGCTAAAATCTGTTTTCATCCAATAAGAGAATAAATCAATATTAACTCGGAAAATAATTTTTAAAAATTAGGACTTGAAAATTATGAACCACTGGATCTTATTTTTCTTGAGCATACAAATAAAATTTCAGCCCTCTTCCATTGATGCGTTCAATCATTTCGGTGTCAAAAAGGGCGTTTGTTCTTGTTCAGTGGTTTATTTTTGGGAAATCAAGGGTTTATCTCATAATTTTGAGTTTATGTGTGTGATAATCGTTCTTTTTTGTTGACCAAGGCCTTTTTCACAGTATAAATTTATCCCAACTATTAATCCGAATAACCTTTCGGGAAAACAAATGGGTCCCTTGAAACTGATTTCTCTGTTAATTATTCTTTTCCTGAACTTCTGCCTTCTACGAAGTTTGAATGATGAGCCAGAATTCTATTTCAAACCCGTGAAAGTTCTATCTTTCTGAAGCCTTCTGCTTGGACTCCTTGTCTCTTCTACCCTTCATTTGGCAGGAATAATTATCGACCACGCTTTTTCCAGCCATTTATGTTCTGTCGTTTTTTTCTGCGTTTTCGCCTTCGACAGGAATTTAAAATTATTATTGGCCTGAGGAATCCTTTTACATTTTACGATTTTGTTACCGTCAACGAAAGTTTTTGTTGTTGCAATTTTTCAGGATAACGTGTAATCGCACCTGTCTTTATGATCTGGCCAATGTTTCGATTCGGGCTGAAGTCGAAGTCCGAGCAGGAATAGATAAAGCAAAATGTATTTCTCGAAAAGACTTATTTTCAAACCAACGACCCTTATTTGGCGCAGCATGTGGGTCGCAAGCTGCCGATATTCCCGAGCGAAGTAGAAAGAATGAATGTATTCTTGAACATTTTATCAATGAAGAACGTCGTGTTAGTACTGTGTTGTTATCATCTTATGTCTCAGAGCTTTGTATCAACTGCAGTACAGTATATAGTTTTCGAAAATGCTGGACAAAAATACGGAAAGGAAGTCGTTGAAACTTAATGCTGGTAATTGAAACAAAGAAAGAGGTTTGAAGCGCTTAACTTGAGTATGAGTTACTGAGCACGATTTTTTCAAAAATTTCAGCATCTGGTGATATGCACATGTTTTATAGGAGTAACGTGATCAGCATTTAATCATTGATTAACCGCTGAACGATTCGAGAAGCTGTTCTTGCTGCGAATCTTGGATCTTGAACGTAAATGCATAGTCTTTTCTTCAAACGCGGAATCAATTATTGATTTGCTTTCTTCCGTCAACTTCGAATCGGCTTAATTTTTCTCGGATTATTGTGACCACCATCATTTGCATGTTTGATGAGAAACCGTGCGGATGTAAACGACTTTTCTAGGAAGATGAATTCGAACAACTACAGTCGGGGTCGTTCGCATCATTTCCTTTCTTGATATGTTCAGTCTTCAACGCGCATATTCTTATACTGTACCTTTGATCAAAATACAGTGACGGATATTTTTCAAGGCTTGGAAAAGAGTAGCCTTCATCTGTACATTATGCTGTAGGGGCATTTTTATGTACCTGTACTATAGTTCATTTGTTTTCCACTGGGAAATTCATGTTTTGGAAGCTGCCATTCGAATTGGCTTCAATCAAAGCTACTCTTTCGTTGATGCAATGAATGTTTCCGTAATGATGTGCTCTTTTTTTCCTCTTCGATAATTATTTCCAGGAATTCTCGTCAGTTTATGTGCAGTGATCATCAGTAATTCGCTTCACGTGTTGCGCAGTCGGTTCATTGATCCCAATCGGTTCATTGATGAATTTTTCCCGTTTGTCTTGTATATATTTCCCGAAAGTTGGGCTAATTCGATATCATCAAATTTATCACGTAGCAGTACTGTAGACCCTGTAGCACCATTAGTATAAACGCATTATCACTTTTTTTTCCTAGGAATATCCGCGTTTATAAAAATCTCCCATTGACGGTTTTGTTAGGAGCGAACCAGATGTCGCTCGATTTCATCTGAAGCCCTTGAATTTAAACGCCGTTCTTCAATACGCAATGAAAACTCGATTATCGCTGGGCGGATGAAATGATGACCGCACCTTTTTCTAGAAAATACGAATGATAAAAAAGGCGTATCTTCTATTTGACAAGACTTCCACATGATTCATTCAGCTACGGTACTTCCCTTCGAACCGAAGATGAGTGCTGAATTCGCATGGTTCGTGCTTGCCGTTCCAATGAACGAAAATAGTGTACTGTATAACTTGACGAGGAATTAGTATTTATAAAGCCTGACAAGTCTATGCACTAATTTTAAATGGGAAGATGCCTTTTGGTTCGACCCTTGGGGCGTAGCTTATTTCG